GTTTAGGGTTTAGGGCAGGGTTGAGGGGAGGACCATTGAATTGAAGGTACATGTACTGCTTAGAGGATTTCTTCGTCTCGGCACACATAGGGATCCAATTCCACAATGGCAGTTTAGGGTTTAGGGTTGAGGGTTTTGGGTCCCAAAGGCTCCATGTACCCCTCTAGTATATACTTAGGCCTTAAAGGGGTTCCTATATAGGTACGTACTTTAAAAGCCTCTGTATATAAGATATAGGCACATGGATTCTTAGGGAGTAGTCTGGGTTGCTGTTAAGGAACTTAAACCAAGTTATTATTATAAGGAAACTATATATCCCCATTATGGTAGCTTGAATTAACTGCCTTATCTGGGTACCCTAAGCCCTGAACCCTAAACCCCTGTAGAACCCAGATAGATCCCTTGCCCTTACCCCCAAGATAGGCCAAAAGCCTTTTATAGCAGGGTTGTTGGGCCCAAAAGCCTTAAGATATGAGTCCTTTGAGGGTAAGGGTTTTACTCTTAACCCTAAACTTAAAGGAACCCCAAATGCCCCTTGATTCCTCATTTCTGGACCCTTCCGGTTCCAAGTGTTGACAACCCACAGGTGCCTAGCGCCCCGCGCAAGAAGAAGCGGCAGGCCCTAGGGTTTAGGGATTTAGGGTTTTAGGGGGTTTAGGGTTTAGGGGTTTAGGGGTTCAGGGGTTTAGGGGATGAGGGTTTAGGGGTGTAGGGATGTAGGGGTTTAGGGCTTCTGATTTCAGCGCTGCCTGACAACCACGAGTCTGTGTAGGCATGCACTGTGTGTATATACGTTCAAGACAACAGAGAGAGAGAGAGAGAGAGACAAAAAAACAGAGATAGAGAGAGAGAGATGGAAAGATCAAGGGTGAGGGAGATGGAGATAGACCAAGAGAGATGGGAAGACGGAGATAGGATTTAGGGAGAGATATCTCTGGTGCTTCATTTTTGACGCCCTCCCAAGGCTCTGCACTGAAACATGCCATGCTTTCCTAAACCCTAAACCCTAAACCCTGAACCCTGAACCCTAAACCCTAAACCCTGTTGCTTATGGGAGAAGCGCCATCGCTCCAGATCCACACTTCCGGAGCGGCTCAGAGCCGACACCACCAAAGAGGGTTTAGGGTTTAGGGTTCAGGGTTGAGGGTTTAGGGTTTAGGGTAAATGCTTCTAGATAAAGCAACTAGAACTGGAATACAACACTGTAAAGCCCGCAAGTAACCCATTGAACCTGGCACATTCTGTGATCTCCTGTGAACTCAGCCCCCAGCATGCAGCTCATTTACACCCTTGCCGATTCTGGAGTTTCAGGCCCCTAAACCCTAAACCCTAAACCCTAAACCCTAAACCGAGTTTCAGGGTTACGAGCCTTTGTCGTCAACATTGAACAGGACCTCTCGGAAAGAAACCTAAAGCCTGCTTGAAATTCCTCAACCCTACCTTAAGCTACCAAACCCTGCTTTTCTGTAGGGTCCCTACAAATTCTATACTAGGGTTTATACTCAGAACCTACCAACATGTAGGTTATGGTAGCTTAAGTAAGGTAAACATACCTTCTAGAACCCTAGAAAACCTCTGCATCTCATGTTTCTGAGGCTCCCGGAAAGGGGGAGAAGGAGGCAGCCGCTGGGCTTAGGGCCGGTTTTAGGTTTAGGGTTTAGGGTTTCGGGTTCTACCCCCCCCCCCCCCTGCCCCGTTCAAGACAAGGAGCAGCAGCACCTTCAAACCCGGAGCTTGCCGAACTAGAACTTAGGGCCTAGGAGTATCTATCATTTATTAAACCTATTAGACTACAGAGTAGACTTCCTAGGAGTATCTATCACTTGTTCAACCTATTAGACTACAGACTTAGACTTCAAATACTTGTTCCACACGTGCAGTTCAAAGTATCGGGTTTTGGGTTTAGGATCTCCTTGGGAGATCTTAAACGCTAAGGACCGAAACTTTGAACTGCCATGTGTGGGTGGATGCGGGAAACATCTCCTTCAAGCTGCGCCCCCGCTCACTTAGGGAGCCCAGAGATGGGTGGGGTTTAGGGTCATAGGCTAACCGGACCTGGCCTTGACCTGATACTTCATGAAGGGTTTAGGGTTTGAGGTTTAGGGGTTTAGGGTGAAGGGGTTTAGGGTTTAGGGGTTTAGGGTTTAGGGTTTAGGGGTTTACGGTTTTTTGACGGACATGCTTGTGCAATCAGCGCGCGCTAAATTCCAAGCAACCGGTGGTGTGAAGAGCACCGGGCAAAAGAGCTACAAAAGAGCTACAAGAGTGGAAAAAGCCTAGCCCGGCCGTAAACAGGCCCAAAAGGGCGTAGGTCCAAAACTCGGCGCGGAAGGCCTCCAGGCCGGCCCAGAGGCCGCCTCTCCTGCGCCTTCGGGCTCCAGATCGGACTCCTGGTACACCCGTCGGCACACCTCGCTTCTAGCAAGGTGCGCGGCTAAACGCTTCAAAGTCCAAAATTCCAGCTTGCAGACTTCGCAGCGGGAGCCGAAAGCGTGCCTCATGCCTATGCCTGGTACCTCATGGCACTTGGAGAGGTGAACTGACAGACGGCGGTGCGATGCGAACCGCGCGCTGCATAGTTGGCACTCGTGGGGGAAAGCCGGCCCGGCGCAGCTGACGACCTCGAGGCTGGCCCCTGCCTCCTGGCGCCGGAGCACGTCACGCCAGTCCACGGGGGGGCGCTCAGCCCTGCACTTGCGTAGGTAGGCTTTGCATGCCGTACGTATACGGTCGGCCTGGGCCTGGATCAAGTCGGCCGCTGGACCGGCCGCGGAGTCTTGAACCTTGGCAAAAACCGGCGCTAGGCCTAGGGAGGCGTAGACGCGGTCCGCAGACTCGCACGCCGCGCGTAGCCACACCCCGTCCTGGACGAAGCCCTGCCATGCTGGCTCCATGTCGTGGCGGATAACCTTCGCCAGCGCCCGGGCTCGGTACACATCAAGGAGCTCGTCCGGACTCGGAACATCCAATGCGGCCAGAACTTCGCCCTGTGTCATGCGGGCTGAGCTGTTGCCGGTGAAGGGACGCACACAGCGGCGTAAGACGGCGTGGACCGGTCCAGTGGCCAATTCCCGCTCCGTCGCAGTATGCAATCGCCACAAGCCAGCACCGTAAAAGAACTTTGGCAAAACCCTTCCCAAAAGGAGGTCTCGCTTCTCTTGGAAGGTCAGGTAGGGGTTATGCATGAGCTTGTTACAGATCGGCTTGAAGGCGCTTCGCATAAGGGCTCCCCGGTGCCGGAGGTTGGCGACCTCAGAAAGCTCTGAGCACACCACCGTGCCCAGGTGGGTGTAGCTCTGGACAATGCGAAGGCGAGGTCCCGTGCCGTCGGGCCCGGAAAGATGCAGTGGCACAGAAGGGTTATCAGCCGTGAGGAGTGCGCGGCGCGCAGTGCGCGAGGCCGCCCCGCGCATAGCCACCAACGCCTCGGTCTTGCCCGGCCCAAGATTGGCCTCAAGCCCTAGACAGTGCAGTCGTGAAACAACCTGGCTGCCGAGCTCTGACAGGAGCCCCGGTACTAGCTCCGCTCGGTCAACCTGGAAAAGAACAACGACGTCGTCTGCCCAGGTTGGGGTTTCCGCGCCTGCACCTCCTTGCTGCAAGACCTCAACATGGGGCGAGGCGCAAGCCGAACGAAGATAAGCTTCCATGCCGTGGAGGAAGCGGCTAAAGAGAACAGCGAAGAGGACATCGGCGACTGGCGAGCCTGGCGCTGTCCCTGTGCGGGTGGTGTACAGGGTGGTTCCGGGGGCGCCGTCAACATACCATGTCTGATTGAGCTGCGCCTGCACAATGCGGTGGACCTCAGCAGGCAGCTGAAGGGACGACAGCCAGCGTCCCGCACGCATCTCTTCCAAGTAAACCTGTTTGGCAGCGGGGTCGGTAAAGAA